CTTCGGCGTGTTCAATTAAGACACACAAGTCTTCCGTTGTTCGAGAATGTTTTATTCGTCATTCATGTCTCTCGGAAGAGAGAACCTGTAAAATATATATTTACACAATAGTCACTTCTATTGATAATCTGTAATAATGTACAAAGATGGTAATCAATTGTTCATTATGAACTAAATAAATTGATATATAGTATATATATTATACTAGAGTTTATAGTTAGTCTGTCTTACCAGGGCCTCTGCTCATTCTTTTTAGATGTGGTCAGTCCCTTGACCCTTGCCTCGGCCTCTACCTCTATAACCTGACTTTGACCTCTGCTCATCCTTTTTAGATGTGGCTTCACCAAGTTTGGATAAAATAGTGTCAAATTTGGCCTCAATACTAGAGTTTAGTTTTTCCTCTAAGGATTTGAGCTTTTTCTTAAAATCCTTGCCCTATATCTAATACCTGTTGCTGGTCAACTTCACAATTGACAGCATGACTGTGTCCTTTTTTAGTTCTAGTAAGGGATTTTCACTAAGAGCCCATCATAATTTAATCCAGCAGTTTGGCTATAGTGTAGAATTTTGTTGTAGAGCTGGAGGGACATTCGATTTTGGTTTAAATTATTTACATAGAAATTTGGATAAACTAATTAGTAGGTATAGATCAATCGTGTTGCTCGCTCTTGGATGAAGAGATTTGTATCAAAGATATTTTTGATTGTAAATAGACATATATTGCCAACTTTATCAGTTATTTACCTTTAGCCAGTATGTCTGATACTGAGGATACTGAGGTTAAGAGTAAGTTGGTTGATACCGACCAGCGGGAAGTCGGGGGTGCCCAAGGTGATAAGGATGATATAGAAATTAATCCTGATAGTAAGGATAGCCTACAAGAAATATAAGGTAAACCCTTAGCTAAGTTATCTGAGGAGGAAATGTTAAAGATACTTATGGCTTCGGATAAGTACCGATTAGTCCCGGTTAAAGAGGAGATTAGCTTTATGGCAAATCCTCCTAAGACACCAATTTTACCTAGGGACCGTACTAGTTCAGTATTTATGAACAGTACTGGAGTCAATGACTCAAATGTACATTCAGGTAGAGTCTCCAAGAACATTCCCAAAATCCCCATATTTTCGGGTAGTGAACCCCCTTCGAAAAGGGAGGTAGCCTATCCTGAATGGAGATACGAGATCCGTTGCTTGCATGGAGATGAGGACGTTTGGTGCAAGCAATACATCGCTCGTTGAGAGGCACAGCCAGGAAGGTACTTATACCTCTTGGAGAGAGAGCCACCATACTAGAAATACTCCATAAAATTGACTCTTTATTTGGAGATATTTCACCTCATGGCATGTTGATGCAAGAGTTTTTTAACTCTTCTCAACGACAAGGTGAGTCTGTCACTGATTTTGGGTGCAGACTGGAAAGCCTGCTACAAACTGCCATAGAGAAAGGTTCTCTTAACACGTCTTCAAGAAATGACATGCTAAGGCATAAATTCTGGACCTCACTTAGGTCAGATAAGCTGAAGAGTCAGACACGTCACAAATATGACTCGTTGGATAATTTCGACATGTTACTGCGTGAGATACGGGTTGTTGAAAAGGAAATCTCTCTTTCAGAATCTGGCACAACAGGTAAAACTAACAGAAATGAAAATCCAGACAAAACTAAAAAAGGACACAGTCATGCTGTCAATTGTGAAGTTGACCAGCAACAGGTATCAGATATAGGGAAGGATTTTGATGGCTGTGATATACCAGGCGAATCCATTGTGGCCAGCACTTCGTTGAGATGTGAAGCTCCATTGCCAGTAGAGATGGATCCCCAGACGGCTCTGACATTAATGTCATATCTCCCTCTTGTGTTGTCATAGGTAGTAAGTCTGGGACTAGTCTCAAATTGGAAAGTTTTTTGGCAACCGTGACACTTCATGACAAGAATAGCTGCAAGACCACATGTCCGTAATTAGGATACTAATTCCACAGGGGACTGATCCTTTTGAACATGGTCCCTAGCACCCTCACATAACACAACATGCTTGGTTATTTCACTTACATGGTTTTGTAATGAGTTCAAAATCATCATCCTGTTTCCATGGACATTGGTGTCTTTTACCTAACTGAGGCTGAATTTGAAATTGTCATCTTCACCTTGTTCACAAAGACTTTCAATGCGATATTCACAAGCCTGACCTCTTGCAGCAGAAAGAAAAGTTCGGGAGTAGACATAGTTCCGTCTACTAATAGGGCGTTGACAAATGCGCATGGATAATACATTACTTTTGGAAAGATATGCCCTGTATGAATATTTAGTAATTTGTGGACGTCCATTGTTTGACAACTTATTCTGTTTCGGCTGCTTGGAAAACCTTCCACCACCAAGGCCAAATTTATATCTAGGTTTCCAACGCGTTTTCATGGTTTCTTGTGGGCTAAATTCAACACTGCAATGCTCAGTTTTGCCCTGCAGGCCTACAACTCGCTAATGAACACGATGGAAGTTTCAACTACAACAATGGTGACGATATCGATGGTAGCGTCGCGATGAATGAAATGAAAGTCTCAAATGAAGATATATACATGATATGTTGTGGAGATTTCATATTTACATTTTGGGCCAAATAAGGTATATACACAATTGGGGAGTGTTCTATCCGTTACGTATTGTTTTTTACATATATATACAGGTAAACAAAGTCACAGACAGCTCAAAAACCAGGTAGGATTCATGTTTTGTTGGCACGATATTCAATTTTCACACGTGCTTCTTCCATGCTTCCATATATTGTTTACTTTTTATTGACACTCAAAACAGTAATATAAATAATCGGTTTTTCAATAAAAACATTCAATTTTACAAGAAAGAACATATGCATTGACCAAAATGTGCCAAAAACTTGTAAATTTGTTTTGAACAAAAAATATTTTTGCCTTCATTTCGCATTTCCTGTTTGTGTCACTTGTCAAAATACAACACACAAATCTCGTCTTACCAGGACATCGACTCAACCAATACATTATCTATGCTTAATTTATGTAAATTACAACTGTATTCAATCCCACAAACCATACTTACAACAAATAAACATCGTCGATCTTCTGCATCTCAGCGTTTTCTCCTCAGCTTCATGTTGTTGACGTCTGATGCACATTGCCGGAAGTGATGCCGCACAAACAGTCCGATCTGATATCATGATTTCTTTTTCTGTAGTAATACTCCTACATTTGTGTTATTCAATTCGGCATCAAAAGTATTTTATTATTTAAGGAATTCTGCTCTTGTTTTGATAACTATGACAGGAAACATTGTCATTTTTGTAAATTAACTGCGGAGCGATATCGCCATGTTGTCCGGTACGAAAATCATACCAAGAGGAAAAAAAGTTGGTCTGAATATGGACTAAAGACCTGGTTACGACATGTGCTAGTTATTTATGGTTTATTCGATGTCAACGCAATCTATTTCGTGTGGTTTGGTGTTTTATGGACGCACCGATCGCTTGTGATTGTGACGGAAATAATCACCATTTTTTTTAACATTGGACAACACGATGACTTTCGATTTAACCAAAATCCATGTATGGATGTTTAAACATAATTTACTTCATAGGAGTACCTCACTGTAAATAATATCTTATTTTGCCAAAGTTTCATTTCTCAAACATAAATAGGTTACCGGACTCATTTTTCCCGATAAAGTGGCCAAATACTCACGAGTCACTCATTTATATTTCAAATAACAGTATTTATTGAGTGCGTGACAAACATTCAATCATGGCTATAGGGAGTTTGAATTAATAACTTCTAACATTGAAAACGACAATTCAGCACAGCTTGTAATACATTTAATATTTACACATGAAATAAAGGGACCTGTAGGTCAATTTTAGTGTTTACATGAACCTTAACGTCCTATCAACAGCTATGGTCATTTAAGGACGGCCATCCCTGTGTGCAAGATGCATGCGTGTAGTGTATGCGTGTGTGTTTTGGGAGGCTGTGATATGTTCGTGTTGGTCAAGCTAGTGGTTTAGCTTGACATTTACATATCTGATATTAAATTGCTATTTAAATATTCCCGCGGTTCGCAGTATGGCAGGAATAATTTGTCTCGTGCGGTACTAGGGCTAGTTTTCTGCACGAGCGGGTGCGTGCTGTGACGTTTACCTGTTACACTGGCGATAGTGTGTATGACCCTGGTGTGTCATTTCTAGTCGCCCCAGCAGGACGTATAGTTCGCTTAAACTTTTCCAATGGCACAAACATTTTTCTGTAGGGTTTTTTTGTGGTACATTGTATTTGGCGTTGTTGCGCTGTTATGTGCAGTTTTTTTATAACCGATTATTTTTTGTTTTATATGGAATGCAAATTTGCGTAAAGTCCATAACAGGTTTTTTGTTCACGATAATCACAGTTGTATTCGTGTTATTTCGTGTTTTATTGTTTGTCAGTTGCTGGCATAACTCAGATTATGGTAGGACATGACGGATCCTTTTAGGACAGAGTAAGACAGTGGTCCAACTGTCGCCTCGCAGAAATCGGGCTTGCAGGGAAGTAATAGTTATTCCCGCTTTTGGATACAGGTTTCCGGGGACTATCTCCGGTTTTTCCTGGGCGTGCAGGTTGATTTTGATGACCGGGGGTTTATATCGGGGTTTTCGCAGTCAGACTTGGAGTTGTACATTTTTTGACGTACACATGGAGCATTGTTTAGCCCGCATTATTATGAGTATATTTTATTCGTCAATCTCATGTTTTGAAACGTTTTTGAAATGTATGTATCTGTATATGAACGCCCACCGTCCTACGTCCATTCGGCGAGCTAGCGGCAAATAGTACATTTGTGTTGGTGTGAATTTTTTAAGTAGCCGAGTGGAGTGAGACTTTATACATACTTGTGCTGGGTGTGTGTGTCGGTATGTATATATCTGTCATGGTGCGTGTAATGTACCTGTATTATATAAGGTTGTTATTGTGACGTGTGAGGGGTGAGATAGTATTGGCTGTGAGAGACTCTTTGACCCTGCATGAACACATATGCACGTGGTAGCCTCACCTGAGCGCCCCACGTGTATTTCAACATCGGTCTAGGGTTAACCCTTTCGGGAGCAGCACTGATAATTCTATACGTAGCTATGTGTGCCTTACAGCCACAGAGTAAGGTAAGCCTAATTTTATTACATTTACTATATAATACACAGGTGCTCGGGTTCAGGAATATATGTGATAAAGTGGCACTTTAACAGGTTGGGCACAACGGCGCATATGGGTAATAATCCCGCCTTTGGGTAACATCTTTGTATGTTATGGTTGAATGGTTGGTTGGTTGGTTGGTTGGTTGATGGGTTTATAGACTCCTTTTCACGGGCGGAGCCAGTGTTCTGGCGTCTTGAGGGGGTAAGTCTCCTGCTTACAGGCCCTCGGTAATTCAAAATGGCATTGCACGTCCAGATCACGCCCCAAGGTCGGTCAGCTCCTTAGATGCGGATAGGCTGTCACGTTACATACAGCACGTATACGGGAGCGTGGAACACGTCCTTTAAACAGCTTCACTGTCCTCCTATGATGGTTGAATGCACTTCAAATCTTTTATATATGATAGTGAAAGTAGATTCGAAGTGCATTCAACCATAACATACAAAGATGTTACCCAAATGCAGGATTACTGCCAATATGCGCCGTTGTGCCCAACCTGTTTAATATTCGTCACAGTCATGGGTGACTGATTAAGCGAACCTACGGCATTTATAATGTTAACACACGTCTTGTTGTTTCGTCTGTTTGTCCCGAAAAGAAGAAATTCAAAAAGTTGCTTTAATCTCGTTAGTTCGTCTTTTCGGGGCAAACAGCCGAAAGAACCAGAAATAAGGTTTCTTAAAGCTCTTCTTTTCTGGGAGAAAAAACGAAATAACGAAAAGACGAGTTGTCTTCCCCGAAAAGTCAAAAATGAAAGGTCGCTAGTTAGCATTCATTTGTTTTTGTCGAATGTGATTTATCGTCTTTTCGCCGAATGTGATTTCTCGGGGCAAAAGGACGAACGAACGAGATTTAAGCAAATGATTAGATCTCGTCTTTTCGGGTCAAAAAGACGAAACAATGAAAATCCAAGATTACTAAATCTCGTGGAAACAACGAGATGACACATATCAGACACCGTTGTCAGATATTTCGCTAATAAAANCCCCCCACCCCCCACCCCCCACAGTTCCCGGGAGGGGGGAGGACTATAAGGTTGAACTCCGTCCGTTCGTCCGTCTGTCCAAGAAGTTTGTCCGGGACATATCTTCTGTACTATTTTACATGGAGTAACCAGATTTGGTGTACAGGGACATCTTGGGATGACGGAGTGCAAGAAGTAGGCCACTATACTCACTGTGACCTATGACTATGCTCCCTGGCATAAGTGTAATGTTTGTTAAATACAGAAATCATTACCGGTGTACTATGGATTGCCTTGCAATACTCTGCCTTGTTATCTGATGACATTCCTGGTTATCAATGGTCAAGGAGAGGTCGGCGTACTAGAGAGGGCAGGGGACATCGTGGGATGGCGGAGAGCAGAGTGCAAGATTTCAGTCACTGACCTATGACCTGACCTTTAATCTTAACTTTTGAAAACAAGTTTGGCCGGGGCATATCTTTTGTACTATTTCACATAGAGTAACCAGATTTGGTGTACAAGGACATCTTGGGATGACGGAGTGCAAGAAGTAGGCCACTATATATACTCACTGTGACCTATGGCAATAAGTGTAATGTTTGTTGAATATAGAAATCATTATCGGTGGGAGACTATGGATTGCCTTGCAATACTCTGCCTTGTTATCTGATGACAAACCTGATTATCAAATGTCACGGAGAGATCGGCGTATACTAGAGAGGGACTGTTGGGTATAGTTAGTGTAGTTTTACGTATCAGTGCGTGATAAAGATTATATCGCAAGCAGGATCATACGATGGCCGACAAGAGCCTGACAAAACGATATGAACTCTTTCATATCTTTTTGTACCACATAAAAGTGTACCATGGTACAAAAAGATATGAAAATTCACATCTTTTTGTCAGGCTCTTGTCGGCCATCGTAGGATCACCACGTCTTTAATTTAGGGGTGATGTGTTGAGTCATAACACAATGGAATATTAATCAGAAACATTTCGCAAACGTGTAGGTGTACAATGTAACAGCTTAACTGAATATAAAAGTGAAGCTTACCTACTAAATGTAGCTACTAGCCCTAGTTTCCTCTGACCCTGATAACAGACTTAGACATTGTTACAGAGAGATGTTCGGTGTTGCCGGTCAGGGCGCACTTCTAAATGGAAACGTAGAATTCTCCGACACCGTTTGGTACTAGAGAGATTTGAAGTGCTGACAACAAAAATCTACCTCAGATATATCGATAAATGGGATATTTATTTATCCAAAACCGCACTTATATAGTTTCACCAACAGCTCCGTCAGTAGAGTCCTCGGTATTCAATTGCTTCAAAGTTCCCATTTGAGTGATGTCATTTTGTAAGTTTTGCAAATTACACGGGAGTGACTAATCAACAAAAAGACGTAGCCCGGAAAACTTCCATTTTGGGTCCGGATCAGTACGGTTTTTTTATTAATCACTCCCGTATTCTTGTTCCTGTGAATAGCAGGCGTTCTGGGTCAGTAAAGTATTTTCTCGCCCATAAAAAGCAGTGAGTTCTCAAGTTTACACACAAGCTGCTATGTTTCGTTTTCGTGCTTTAATTACAGAATTAATGTTTGTTGGTGTAAGGTGATAGTATGCCTAACTGTTACTAAAACTGATCAAGATAAGAATGCAAGGCGAAATTCGCGCGTTTTTGTCCCAATTGTACTCATCACATAAATGGGCGGAGCTATTATACAAGACTGTAGTATGAACGATAGCCGATAGCGGCCGACAGAACACTCATGTTAGTAAAAAGTGTTCTGTCTGACAGTTTGTCAAATTATAAGTGGGCATTTTACACATTTTGTAAAAAGTGTAGACTGGTATGACACTTTGTCAATTCATGCATGGCAGTTTACTCATTTTACTTTCACAAAATAAACATTGGGGGAGGAGGGAGAGATGGAAATAGGATCACATTCCAAGGGCTGAGCAGAATATAGTATGCTATCCCAATGAACTTATTTACCTTTAACATAAATCACACGGATTAGACAGTATTTTTAATTGTTCATCGTATACACGGAGCAAGATAGAATTCCTTCTATGAAGTGAGTAAAACGATGCTGTTTAAAAAGCATTTATATTATAAATGTATATGTATACTGTTTTGAATATGTAAACTTAAGGATTTATTGACGATCACAAGTTCAATACTGAAGTTAGCACAAGACTCTACTGCAAAGTGTCATGACAGTTTACACTTTTTACAAAAAGTGTTAAATGCCCACTTATAATTTGACAAACTGTCAGACAGAACACTCTTTACTAATATGAGTGTTCTGTCGGCCGCTATCGGCCATCGTAAGTACGAGTAACTGTTTGACAGTATACGTACATACACACCTACTCGAGGCTCCGCTCCTAGTCAGAAGATACATGCGGTGGGTTTGAATTTGACTGTGGACAGGGTGACTAGGACATATTTACTGCTGTAACGCTTCATCCGTAAGTAATTTTTGCACCTTAAAACGACATACCACTAGCAAATACAGAGTACGTGTACATATTAACGTTAGACATACAATGTACCACCAGATACACTTATTATAACCCCAGCCAAAACATCTAGTCTGTATGCATCGACCTTTAACCGGCTAGCTAGTGCTCGTGTACCGGTGACAGAGGCAGAGATAGCAAGACAAAACAGTAGGTATGTACAATATTTAAACTATACCGTATACATGACAGCATTTATAAACGTACTGTTGTAGTTGTCTTTTCACTATATGTTATACGTAAATGTCGTTATTCACGTTTATCCGTGTAAATCATCATAAGATAGAAACAAAATTGGTTTCTAAACTTGCCTAATACAATTGCACATGTGCGTACCCCAGAAAAATATCCAGTTGCGCCTGAATGTCAGAGGCTGGTCACTTGTCCAACTTAGGTTCAAGGTATTCAAGATGAAACGATCAGTTAGGACTAATATATATATCTATATAGTTCTACGTAAAACATACGTATTTTTACCTACGTCAAACGTTTCACGCACGTAAAACAGCACTTTTTCCTGTGACGACAGACGAGAATGTGTACCTACTGTACCTAGGTCATATATGGTGTAGGTACACGTTCTCGTCTGTCTTATATTTTGTCACAGTTTTACCGTCATATCTACAGAACCCAATACTAGACGTCAAACCTCGGCCTTACACAATGTCACAGTTTCATTTAATATCTTCTCAGAGGTAGCCAACCTAGACGTTTGTATTCCGCATTAAATTTCATCTGTTAACGGTCGAACGCTCATGACGAAGATCTTGTTTTTGACTTGAATTATATTTCAATAATGCACTACATCTGCATTTACGCTTACTTTATATGAGATATACTGTAAATTCATAATCAACGACAGCGGTTATCATAAATATCTAGTCACGACAAAGAACATCGATGATAGATAAGTGTTAAAACACAGGGCGGAGGAACTAGAAAACGAGCTGATTTTGGGCTGTGATTTTAATATTAAGGGCTAAATAATTATAGAATAAGAACATATCAGTGTTTAGGGGGAAAAACAGGAAAATTGCTTTACACACTATCCCTTCATTCAGATCAAATTCAAGCAGAATCCCTCTACCGAAACAATATATAGGTACATTATTATATATGTATTGAGTTTGAAGACAGCAATTGAAAAATGTCACTCTTCCATCTCGTGCGTGTAGATAAGTTGCCATAGTAACCAAAAGATAGAATGGGTTTTTTCCCTTTCGAAGCAATGACTCGAGACTTTTTGTACAGAGCAGGCGGTGGATGTTGTATTCTAACTAAATACACGATAACTACTTTAAGCCTTCGTTTCTTTCAAGCAGCCAACACATTTCTTTTCACACATAACATTCAAAGATTAGTTAGAATATAAAAAATGTATGTATATATTATAGGACTGATCAGCCCAATCTGACAAAGATCGACAACCATGCATCATACGTTCTCGTTGAAAATGTAAATTTTGACGTTAAAAATG